TGTTTAGAACAAGTTACACAGACTAGCTGTCAGTGATATTACCAAGCAACAGTCTAGATATCAGTGATTAAACCAAGTCACACAGACTAGCTGTCAGTGATATTACCAAATCATAGTCTATATATCATTGCTTAGACCAAGTTACACAGACTAGCTGTTAGTGATATTACCAAGCCGCAGTCTATATATCAGTGCTTAGACCAAGTAACACAGACTAGCTGTCAGTGATTTTACCAAATCACAGTCTATATATCAGTGCTTAGACCAAGTATCACAGACTAGCCGTCAGTGATATCACCAAATCGCAGTCTATATATCAGTGCTTAGAACAAGTTACACAGACTAGCTGTCAGTGATATTACCAAATCACAGTCTAATTATCAGTGATTAAACCAAGTCACACAGACTAGCTGTCAGTGATATTATCAAATCACAGTCTAATTATCAGTGATTAAACCAAGTAACACAGACTAGCTGTCAGTGATCTTACCAAATCACAGTCTATATATCAGTGCTTAGAACAAGTTAAACAGACTAGCTGTCAGTGATATTATCAAATCACAGTCTAATTATCAGTGATTAAACCAAGTAACACAGACTAGCTGTCAGTGATATTACCATATATCAGTGCTTAGACCAATTTACACAGACTAGCTGTCAGTGATATTACCAAATCACAGTCTATATATCAGTGCTAAGACCAAGTCACACAGACTAGGTATCAGTTATTAGACCAAATCACAGACTAGCTATCAGTGATTATACCAAGTCACAAAGCCTAACTTTCAGGGATTAGACCAAGTCACAAAGACTTGCTATCAGGGATTAGACCAAGTCACACAGACTAACTATAAGGGATTAGACCAAGTCACAAAGACTAGCTATCAGTGTTCAGAACAAGCCACTACTAATGAGTCAACATGTACAGATTTTCTATGGAAAAGTAAACAACAGTTGTTGATCCATAGTCATTCATTATCTGTTATAATTTATCACGTTAAAACATTTTCACTGAATTCTCCTTTATTGAGATACATGTGTATAATACGATATTGTTCCGACGATCAAGTATCTCATACATAATTAATATAAATCTGTTGGTTAAAGTACATTAACTATTTTTCACGCAGTATTAGATATTCAGGAAATTGCAAAAGGAAATCGCTGTAAGCAGATGTAACAGAATTTCAAAGATCAAAGTAAAACGTTATCACAAATAAAGCAAATCATTATAAAACATTAATGCGCTGTCTAAATACTAATTTCTGTCAATGTCCTGGTACATATCTATCATTCCTGGTTATTAATACTTTGAGGTTCCCTCAGCACGTTTAATCTTTCGATACAGAAATGCACTCCGTCAACGGTATGTAGGTATTATCTTGATAAGATCCTCCATAGTGTCACCAAAGCAACTCATTTCAAAGTGCAACAATTTCGTCGTCTAATAGATTGCATTGGTTCCTCTACCTCCCGACAATTCTGATTCACGTTAGCGATAACTGTCATTGCTGTTCTACCTAATTGATCGGATTGAAACATTGAATTGTATTTGACTAGTATCTAGTATGGTAACTATAACCGAACAGTCACTATTGGTACAACTCCTACTCTGTCTTTTCTTGTTCTTACAATAATCTCCATCCTTTTAATGTAAAGTCCACCACGATCGTTGTCAGTTGCTTATACCAAGTTTTGTCCGCCATGGGCTCAAATTCAGATTGCAATATAAATAAATATGGCTATAAAATATATTGTGAACATAACAACAAAGGCCAAACTTAAATATATGGAGGAGGACACTTGGAGAAGAAACAAGTTCTCGATTGATAATATCTTGATAGAGTTCGGTGACAAGACCGTTAAGCAGACTATGGGAGCAAATTGTTCCCCCCTTCTGGCCGACTTGTTTTTGTTTTCATATGAGGCTGGATTAATTGAAGAACTTATCAGAACTGGTAGCAAAAACCTCCTCCAAAAGTATCCAAAAGTCCTCCAACTTACCTTTTAGATATATTAACGTGTAATCTTTAAAGATCATATACTGATTATAACACTCCTTAACTCGGAGGAATACAGGCCACTGTACGCTTCTACTTCAGCCGCTAACCTCGATCTTCACTTACAACCTGACCACCAATAACGGCTAACCTCTGAGTTGTACTGTGAGCGGGACGTTGTTTTGTACTGGCTTGTTGTCTGTCCTCCAGTTCTCGCTATGTTGACGTTGCAATCCTTAGATTTGACCTAGATGAAGCAGACGACGCTCACCATTCTGGAACCCTTGACCTTATCATCTTTGTGCTTATTTTCTTTTTTTGTATTTTGCCCCAGTTTAACCGAGATTGAGAACAAATTAAGATTTTGTTATCAAACGGTAATCTCTTGTTATGTTTGACTTGGTATTGGAAGTAATTGTTTGACGTAACAGGAGGACTATCAGTCCCCATGATTGGCAGCCTCTTGTAGTTAACATTCATTCTGGTACAGCTCACACGAGAGACTAATAAGAATAAGTTATCTGTTGTATCCAAATACTGTCAATCTGTAACGTTATAGAAGGGTTGAAAGACACCTTTCCTTTTTTGATCTGTTTTGGAACTCTTTAGAAATTTTCGTTTCATTCTTTCAACTTTAAGTATTTTTGGAATTGTTTTGTGACGTGAGGTTTGATATATTTGATTCTGCTCATTAATGAACCTGTTGTTTCTTTGTCAGAAATTTTTCGATAATATCTATGTATATCTTTCAAAAACACTTAATATTTTGCACCAGTTTTATAGATTTTTAGTTCATATTACGATTTAGATAACACTTTGGCATTTTACTGTTTTTCTTCTTTCTTTTGAATTTGTTGCCAGTTACATTGTCTTCTCATTTGGCACATCAAGATGTTTAAATATTGTAAAGTCTGTGTTGATGCTTGTGTATTTCAGAAGACATCATATAAGAAAAAAAACAAAGCTTGATGCAGGAGAGCATCATGTATACTGGACACATAACTACATGACCGGTATAACTCGGTATACGACATACCGGACACACAGACACGTGAACGGTATAACTCGGTATACGACTTCCTGGCACACAACCACGTGACCAGTATAACTCGGTATACGACATACTCGACACACAACCACGTGACCAGTATAACTCGGTAAACGACAAACTGGACACACAACCACGTGACCAGTATAACTCGGTATACGACTTCCTGGACACACAGACACGTGAACGGTATAACTCGGTATACGACATACCGGACACACAGACACGTGAACGGTATAACTCGGTATACGACATACTGGACACACAACCACGTGACCAGTATAACTCGGTATACGACATACTGGACACACAACCACGTGACCAGTATAACTCGGTATACGACTTACTGGACACACAATTACCAGGATATTATATTGGTGTATACCTTTACGTGGAGTTTACATTCATTTACTTCCGTTCCTTATCGTTTGAAGTGTTGACAGTCACAAAGTCACTGCCTTATATATGACTGAAGTACGATAAGAAATACTCTGCGGTTGTGAACAATGCACACGTGAGAACTGTACTATATTGAACTTATTACAAGGAAGCGATAGTGTTAAAATGTTTTTATTCAAGGTCGACAAGCACGTGTTCTTCCCATCGTCCGTGGACAGTGTAAAACATCAAATACAGTTTGAGCAAACTTTTTAATTTCTTATAAAATATTTCATCGTGGAAATCAATGAAGATATAGTAACTGTTAAATGTGGTTGATTAGGTAATTGTTTTTAACTTTTAATGCATTAGAGCATACTGTTTTCACACAAATTTTCACCATCCGTTCTAATACATTGCCATGCTATTTCCTATCATATTTCATATAAAGTTTTACCTCAAACCAGATATTGATTTGTACTTAAAAGCATCAAGCATAGGTATATAAATCCGTTCTCGTATACTAGTAACATTCAGTGTACACTGATATATCTATTTGTCCATTGATGCTATTGCTAACATTTCGTTGCGCTAATTAATGGCATAGAGGGCCAATAAAAAGCTGTATCGCACTCCATCTCTTTTCAATAGTTCTGCAATATGCACAATACATATATTGCCTGACATAAGTTATTGAAACACACATACCTCTTTTGCTATGTATTACTAAATAGACAACAATACGTCAACCTGATCATTCGATACTGTACACTGGATGATTGTTCATTCTCTTTTCTCCTACACCTGACAGATTTATCTCCCGTTTTGCCGGTGCTNTGATTCTATATGTACTTGCAATAACCATTTCTAATGAAACAAAAGCATTGTCACGGTAAGCGTTTACATGTGACGTAATTAGGAAAATCTAAGCCAGGTCATTCCAGACAAAGTTTACACTTTAAAGTTTAAAATTTAAGTTGAAAGCGACCACACATGCATATTAGCATCACTTAGTGATTGCTATAATTTCTACAGGAATATTGTTATATTGTATGGTTGTTTATGGTTAAAACAATTGCAAACATAAATGTTTACTTCGAATCGGCCTTGAAATTGATACAATTTAACGGATAACAGATCTATCAAAGTGATAAAAAGCATAAACTAAAAGCTGAAATTATATTTTTCAACACATATATATCTTTCATCTTCCGGATTTCCGCGAAATAAAAACCTCACGAATTAATTGACGATACAAGTGCTCAAAACTTTAAACTCATATAAAACAAACAACTATCCAGTTTATCTACTCACCATCAATGTCTATGTGATGGCCTTTGGCAACACATTAAAACCTTTGTTATTCTTTTAACATTCTACAAAAATGTATATATTTAATGCAAATAAAAAAGAAGTATTGCTCGCAAAATTAAAACCCTTTCTCCACCCCAAGAGCAGAAACTGTATTGCTGTACAGACGATGTTTTAGTTTGCAATATATGGTGTTTAGATAACGGGTTTCCTTTATAAAGGCGACGCGTGCACAATATAAGGTAAAATGCCGTTGGAATTTGAACGGAAACATGCTTTTTTTATTTGTGCAGACGATTGTTCATATCAGGCACCAAACTCGCCAGTAGGACATGATCGCGAGTAGGTCGGACAGTACTCTTTGCTTAGTATATATATCAATGCGGTTGACCTATATCTCCAATCTCATGATCAGTATACACAGCACTACGTCACAGGGCTCAGGGACAAGAGGAATCATGTGGAGTTGTCAGGCTTTAATTCTGCTCTGTGGTACGTAACATCTACACCAATTAGTCGTCGCTTACGTCGACTTAGTTTGCTAATGTAGAACTACTTTCTGGTGATTCTCTGCTTTGGATGTATACTTTAGTTTCGAGGATTTATGGTGTCGATGACATAAAATTGATCCTTAAAGGAGGGAGTGACATACTTCAGTCAGCCGATTGTCAGGAAGTCATTTAGTTAGCAAAAAAGTCTGTTTTCTATACTCGTTTCTATTTGTAATGTGTTTGCAGCAGTCTGACATATATTTACTTTATATCAGACCTCATTGCTAATGCATCAGTTGTGGTACTAGTTTAAAGTAGTGTATTTCCCTGTCAACAAAACCTCTCTTATTGCCGCACTTCACAACAATATTTTATAATAATGCACGATTTACAACTATTCAATAGACAAGACTTGTTGAGGATAGCAAACAATTGCAAAAGCGATATGACCGATATTGTATGTAGAATGAGGTTGCTTGGTCTGGCATTGTTGTTTAGAACAGGACCTCGGTGTGCGATTGGAGTCATGATGTTTATCTCCTGCATGTCATAACAGGTATATAATGTACGTCGTTTCTGTGGCTATATGTGATGCTTATCAATTGAATATAATTTAAGTCTGTCAGCTGATATTATATAATGTCACGAGTTTATATATTATAGTTTTCACGTGCGTACATATCACGTTTGTAATGTTATTCTATATATGGTTAACGTGTATTCATGAACAATTGCAAAATTTACTAATCAAAGTTAGATTAACATATTTAACAGCAATCATGAGTTTTAGGTCTTCTTCTTTTTCGTACACTTTTGTACGAAAATGTTGAATGCTTGTTTACAAACGACAATCCAGGTCTCCTAGGAATAGATTTGAGGTCAATAGGTTTATAATTATTTGGCTATAGTGCGATTTTGATTATTTCGGAGGGTTTTTAAACCTGTAAAACGTAATAACATAACAATACTACATCGCAGATGAACATCAGTAAAGGAGAAGCTTGAATTAAAAGGGTGCCGACATTCCTCGGACCAACACGATTTTTGTAGTTTAGGATGTTTCACAATCAAAGAGATGGAGCCGGAAGGAATTTAGCAAACCGAATTATAATCATGTGGGTTTAATGTCTGTCGTTTAATAATGTGTGACCTTTGAATTGGTAAATATGCTTTTATTATTCCCAACTGATGATTGTGTATAAATCATGTCAAGTGATTATGATTTATCACAAACTGCATGTTCTAGATATCATTTGATAACACATTATATATGCATGCCAAGTGATTATTATATATTGGGTACTCTATATGTTCCATTATTATACATTGGGTACTCTGTGTGTTCCATTATTATATATTAGGTACTCTGTATGTTCTATTATTATATATTTGGTACGCTATATGTTCCATTATTCTATATTGGGTACTCTGTGTGTTCCATTATTATATATTGGGTACTCTGTATGTTTCATGATTATATTTTATAAATGTAAAGTGATGTAACAGTATACTTGTCACTACTATACGTGTACGTCCACAAAACTCACCAAAAGTAAACACTATCATGTATGTACAATTGTTTCCACAGGTTTGTTCCCTAACTTCATCATCGCTGTGAGAGCAGCCGAAGGTATATTACTATCCTGAATACTATGTCGTTATTAACACGGGAGATATTGTATTATGTCTTTATAAACGTACGTTCTATTAAATTTTAATTAAAGGCGTTATGTCTTCATAAACACACAAACCATTACTGATTACGTTTTACAAAGTCGATGAATTATGACTGAATAAACATAGGTTATGATTTAATTAACACACATAGTTGGTATTTTTACTTCATGAACACACAAACCATTATAAGTGAGTATATCTGCATAAACATACGAACGTTACGTATTACGTCGCACAAATGCTTAAGTATTATAAGTGACGTCACACAGACTATTTGGATATATATTCGGAATAAGATTCATCAATTTGGTATCAATAACAAAGCCTTAGTCGGTTTCGAACACAAACATAAATTGAAAACTTATTTCACCATCTTATGAAAACGTCTGTTTCCATTGTCAAGCAAATAGTGTAAACAACTCAGTAAGGTACAGTGTGCCGAATCAGTAAGTCGGCTGCCTAAAATTATGGAGAGATTTCCCCCAATTGCACTCTAATACTGCAGGCAGTCAGGAAGACGGGTATAGAATGACCATTTCCATCAGCAGAATTGTGACAAGTACGAAGCTACTGCCAAAAAAGCCAAACACTGTTAATAATGTTCAGTTCTATGCAAAGACATTAATGCCGGTATGTTTGTTAAGCAAACACTTCCCACAAAGCTACAGTTTCGTGAAATATAAGATATAATCAGTTCAAGTGTGTGTTGGTAGTGATACTTAGTTTTGATTGATAACTAATCCTTACACATTCTACTGGTATAGAGACATTTCATTTGTCTTTGTCAGTTATTACAGAACACATACGGAAACTACATCTCTAAATGTTGTTTAAGTATATATTTTATATGATTAAGGCGATATTTTTCTGACTTGTATTTGTGACTGTCCGATCCTTGTCCTACAGCTACAGGGGGAATAAAATGTTTTATATGTGATGCCGCCGAGTCTCCCGATCAGTGTACTCAGCTGGTATACTGTGGCCCGGATGAGGTAAGTAACGCTAGTGTACACTCTAAAGGATGTCTTTTATTTGTATTTGGTTGATTGTTTTAATAATAATGATAAGAATATCATATAGTAGAAGACTATTTGTAGGCAGTACAAGTGCATCTAATGAATAGCAAAAATTGTATTTAAAATTGGTTATTTCGAAAGTGCAGAAACTTAAGACAAGTTGATCCATATCCTAACGTGTTATTACGAAGCCTCCAACAGGATGTGATACAGATTTTTATTTCATCAAAAGAATTTTTCTTAAATCTCAAAAACTCTTCGACCGAAAATGTGTGTTCATTGTTAAATAATTACAATTAGTACGATACAATAAATATAGGAGTAAAATCGTTTATAAAAAAATGAATCTGCGGAATTTGAATGTTCCTGATGAATCGAGTTGGATTTGTTCACGTTCCATGTTAAAGTGATGCCTGTTATACTTCAGCTCTGCTATCTGGAGCACTACGTGAGGAGAGCAGATGTCAAAAAATTATACAGAGGCGGATGTCGAAGTAAATCGGTAATAAACTCCGTAACAGATTGGTTATTTGTAACTATGATTCAATGATCAACCATTGATTTATGAAGATAAATACAATACAATGTTTATCAGCGAAGTATAGAATTCTACTTTTGGCGAGGAATGCAAATATCAGGCAGATCAATTGATTTAAAAAATCAAAATAATCTAGGATGATATCCTTATTTAAGAGTCATTTCATCATAATTGTTTCGAGGAAAGTTACCTCAAAGTGGTCGTAATATGTGAATTATTTAAAATAAAAGAAGGTAAAACTGATTTTGGTTTTGTATTATACACCCCCTTCTTAGTGTATATTCTGACACTGAACTCGCCATTCGTGTTCCGACAACAACAGTGTCTTCGGTTAATTATCATCAAGTGTTCCCTTTATCCTAATCAATTACAAGATCATTGTAAATCAATACAATAATACAAATATGTGTTGAACACTTTTTTTTCAGGTGTGTCATCTACAAACCTGTTTATCAAACCAGGCGGTTGGTGCACCTTTTGGAAAACGAGACGAATCAGCAGGAACAATTTGTTCGGAGTGTTGCAACAGGCAGCTCTGTAACCTTAAGTTGTGCCATTGTTAGTAACAATACTTACTTTGTAATGTAACCATCAGTGATGTTTCTTCACGTTATGTACTTGTAACCTTAAGTTGTGTCATTGTTAGTATCAATGCTTAGCTTGTAATGTCACCACCAGTGATGTTTCTTCACGTTGTGTACCTGTAACCTTAAGTTGTGTCAGTGTTAGTATCAATACTTACTTTGTAATGTAACCACCAGTGATGTTTCTTCACGTTTTGTACTTGTAACCTTAAGTTGTGCCATTGCTAGTATCAATACTTACTTTGTAATGTAACCACTATTGATGTTTCTTCACGTTATGTACTTGTAAGTTGTGTCATTGTTAGTATCATTACTTACTTTGTAATGTAACCACCAGTGATGTTTCTTCACGTTTTGTACTTGTAACCTTAAGTTGTGCCATTGCTAGTATCAATACTTACTTTGTAATGTAACCACTATTGATGTTTCTTCACGTTATGTACTTGTAACCTTACGTTGTGTCATTGTTAGTGTGAATGCTTATTTGTAATGTAACCACCAGTGATGTTTCTTCACGTTTTGTACTTGTAACCTTAAGTTGTGCCATTGCTAGTATCAATACTTACTTTGTAATGTAACCCGCAGTTAGGTTTCTTCATGTTATTTACTTGTAACCTTAAGTTGTGTCATTGTTAGTATCAATACTTACCTTGTAATGTCACCACCAATGGTGTTTCTTCACGTTGTGTATTTGTATTCTTAAGTTGTGTCATTGTTAGTATCAATACTTACTTTGTAATGTAACCCGCAGTTAGGTTTCTTCATGTTATTTACTTGTAACCTTAAGTTGTGTCATTGTTAGTATCAATACTTACCTTGTAATGTCACCACCAGTGGTGTTTCTTCACGTTTTGTACTTGTAACCTTAAGTTGTGCCATTGCTAGTGTGAATGCTTACCTTGTAATGTTACGACCACCGATGTTTCTTCACGTTATGTACTTGTACCCTTAAGTTGTGTCAGTGTTAGTATCAATACTTACTTTGTAATGTAACCACTATGGATGTTTCTTCACGTTATGTACTTGTCAGTTGTGTCATTGTTAGTATCAATACTTACTTTGTAATGTAACCACCAGTGATGTTTCTTCACGTTATGTACTTGTAACCTTAAGTTGTGTCAGTGTTAGTATCAATACTTACTTTGTAATGTAACCACCAGTGATGTTTCTTCACGTTATGTACTTGTAACCTTAAGTTGTGTCAGTGTTAGTATCAATACTTACTTTGTAATGTAACCACCAGTGATGTTTCTTCACGTTATGTACTTGTATCCTTAAGTTGTGTCATTGTTAGTGTGAATGCTTATTTGTAATGTAACCACCAGTGATGTTTCTTCACGTTGTGTACTTGTAACCTTAAGTTGTGTCATTATTAGTATCAATACTTACCTAGTAATGTTACCACCGGTGATGTTTTTTCACGTTATGTACATGTAACCTTACGTTGTGTCATTATTAGTATCAATACTTACCTAGTAATGTTACCACCGGTGATGTTTTTTTCACGTTATGTACATGTAACCTTACGTTGTGTCATTGTTAGTATCAATGCTTACCTATTAATGTTACCACCAGTGGTGTTTCTTCACGTTTTGTACTTGTAACCTTACGTTGTGTCATTGTTAGTATCACTACTTACCTTGTAATGTCACCACCAGTGTTGATTCTTCACGTTATGAACTTGTAACCTTATGTTGTGTCATTGTTAGTATCAATACTCACCTTGTAATGTCACCACCAGTGATGTTTCTTTCACGTTATGTACTTGTACCCTTAAGTTGTGCCATCGTTAGTATCAATGCTTACCTACTCATGTTACCACCAGTGATGTTTCTTCACGTTATGTACTTGTAACCTTAAGTTGTGCCATCGTTAGTATCAATGCTTACCTTGTAACGTAACTGCCAGTGATGTTTCTTTCACGTAATGTACTTGTAACCTGAAGTTGTGCCATTGTTAGTATCAATGCTTACCTTGTAATGTCACCACCAGTGGTGTTTCTTCACGTTTTGTGCTTGTAACCTTAAGTTGTGCCATTGTAAGTATCAATGCTTACCTTGTAATGTAACCACCAGTGATGTTTCTTCACGTTATGTACTTGTAACCTTACGTTGTGTCATTGTTAATATCACTACTGACTGTGTAATGTAACAACCAGTGATGTTTCATCACGTTTTGTACTTGTAACGTTAAGTTGTGCCATTGTTAGTATCAATACTTACCTTGTAATATAACTGCCAGTGATGTTTCTTTCACGTTTTGTACTTGTAACCTTAAGTTGTGTCATTGTAAGTATCAATGCTTACCTACTAATGTAACCACCGGTGTTGTTTCTTCACGTTATGTACTTGTAACCTTAAGTTGTGCCATTGTTAGTATCAATGCTTACCTTGTAATGTCACCACCAATGGTGTTTCTTCACGTTGTGTATTTGTATTCTTAAGTTGTGTCAGTGTTAGTATCAATACTTACTTTGTAATGTAACCCACAGTTAGGTTTCTTCATGTTATTTACTTGTAACCTTAAGTTGTGTCATTGTTAGTATCAATACTTACCTTGTAATGTCACCACCAGTGGTGTTTCTTCACGTTTTGTACTTGTAACCTTAAGTTGTGCCATTGTTAGTGTGAATGCTTACCTTGTAATGTTACCACCACCGATGTTTCTTCACGTTATGTACTTGTCAGTTGTGTCATTGTTAGTATCAATACTTACCTCGTAATGTCACCACCAGTGGTGTTTCTTCACGTTTTGTGCTTGTAGCCTTAAGTTGTGCCATTGTAAGTATCAATGCTTAACTTGTAATGTAACCACCAGTGATGTTTCTTCACGTTGTGTACTTGTAACCTTAAGTTGTGTCAGTGTTAGTATCAATACTTCCTTTGTAATGTAACCAACAGTGATGTTTCTTCACGTTATGTACTTGTCAGTTGTGTCATTGTTAGTATCAATACTCACCTTGTAATGTCACCACCAGTGATGTTTCTTTCACGTTATGTACTTGTAACCTTAAGTCGTGTCAGTGTTAGTATCAATACTTACTTTGTAATGTAACCCACAGTTAGGTTTCTTCATGTTATTTACTTGTAACCTTAAGTTGTGTCATTGTTAGTACCAATGCTTACCTTGTAATGTAACTGCCAGGGATGTATCTTTCACGTTTTGTACTTGTAACCTTAAGCTGTGCCATTGTTAGTGTGAATGCTTACCTTGTAATGTTACCACAACCGATGTTTCTTCAAGTTATGTACTTGTAACCTTAAGTTGTGTCATTGTTAGTATCAACACTTACCTTGTAATGTCACCACCAGTGGTGTTTCTTCACGTTTTGTACTTGTACCCTTAAGTTGTGCCATTGTTAGTGTTAATGCTTACCTTGTAATGTTACCACCAGTGATGTTTCTTCACGTTGTGTACTTGTAACCTTAAGTTGTGTCATTGTTAGTGTGAATGCTTACCTTGTAATGTTACCACAACCGATGTTTCTTCAAGTTATGTACTTGTAACCTTAAGTTGTTCCATTGTTAGTGTGAATGCTTACCTTGTAATGTTACCACAACCGATGTTTCTTCAAGTTATGTACTTGTAACCTTAAGTTGTTCCATTGTTAGTGTGAATGCTTACCTTGTATGTTACCACCACCGATGTTTCTTCACGTTATGTACTTGTATCCTTAAGTTGTGTCAGTGTTAGTATCAATACTTACTTTGTAATGTATCCCACAGTTAGGTTTCTTCATGTTATTTACTTGTAACCTTGAGTTGTGTCATTGTTAGTATCAATACTTACTTTGTAATGTATCCACTATGGATGTTTCTTCACGTTATGTACTTGTAACCTTACGTTGTGTCATTGTTAGTATCGTTATTTACTTGTAACCTTAAGTTGTGTCATTGTTAGTGTGAATGCTTACCTTGTAATGTTACCACCAGTGGTGATTCTTCACATTTTGTACTTGTAACGTTAAGTTGTGCCATTGTTAGTATCAATACTTACCTTGTAATGTAACCACCAGTGATGTTTCTTCAAGTTATGTACTTGTAACCTTAAGTTGTGTCATTGTAAGTATCAAAGCTTACCTACTAATGTAACCACCAGTGGGGTTTCTTCACGCTATGTACTTGTGACCCTAAGTTGTGTCATTGTTAGTATCAACACTTACCTTGTAATGTCACCACCAGTGGTGTTTCTTCACGTTATGTACTTGTGACCCTAAGTTGTGTCATTGTTAGTATCAACACTTACCTTGTAATGTCACCACCAGTGGTGTTTCTTCACGTTTTGTACTTGTAACCTTAAGTTGTGTCATTGTAAGTATCAAAGCTTACCTACTAATGTAACCACCAGTGGTGTTTCTTCACGTTATGTACTTGTGACCCTAAGTTGTGTCATTGTTAGTATCAATGCTTACCTACTTATGTTACCACCAGTGATGTTTCTTTACGTTATGTACTTGTAACCTTAAGTTGTGCCATTGATAGTATCAATNCTACTGACTGTGTAATGTAACAACCAGTGATGTTTCATCACGTTTTGTACTTGTAACGTTAAGTTGTGCCATTGTTAATATCAATACTTACCTTGTAATGTAACTGCCAGTGATGTTTCTTTCACGTTTTGTACTTGTAACCTTAAGTTGTGCCATTGTTAGTATCAATGCTTACCTACTAATGTTACCACCAGTGATGTTTCTTTCACGTTATGTACTTGTAACCTTAAGTTGTGCCATTGTTAGTATCAATACTTACCTTGTAATGTAACTGCCAGTGATGTTTCTTTCACGTTTTGTACTTGTAACCTTAAGTTGTGTCATTGTAAATATCAATGCTTACCTACTTATGTCACCACCAGTGATGTTTCTTCACGTTATGTACTTGTAACCTTAAGTTGTGCCATTGATAGTATCAATGCTTACCTTGTAATGTAACTGCCAGTGATGTTTCTTTCACGTTTTGTACTAGTAACCTTAAGTTGTGTCATTGTTAGTAGCAATGCTTACCTTGTAATGTAACTGCCAGTGATGTTTCTTTCACGTTATGTACTTGTAACCTTAAGTTGTGCCATTGTTAGTATCAATGCTTACCTTGTAATGTAACTGCCAGTGATGTTTCTTTCACGTTTTGTACTTGTAACCTTAAGTTGTGTCATTGTAAATATCAATGCTTACCTACTTATGTCACCACCAGTGATGTTTCTTCACGTTATGTACTTGTAACCTTAAGTTGTGCCATTGTTAGTATCAATGCTTACCTTGTAATGTAACTGCCAGTGATGTTTCTTTCACGTTTTGTACTTGTAACCTTAAGTTGTGTCATTGTAAATATCAATGCTTACCTACTTATGTCACCACCAGTGATGTTTCTTCACGTTATGTACTTGTAACCTTAAGTTGTGCCATTGTTAGTATCAATGCTTACCTTGTAATGTAACTGCCAGTGATGTTTCTTTCACGTTTTGTACTTGTAACCTTAAGTTGTGTCATTGTAAATATCAATGCTTACCTACTTATGTCACCACCAGTGATGTTTCTTCACGTTATGTACTTGTAACCTTAAGTTGTGCCATTGTTAGTATCAATGCTTACCTTGTAATGTAACTGCCAGTGATGTTTCTTTCACGTTTTGTACTTGTAACCTTAAGTTGTGTCATTGTAAATATCAATGCTTACCTACTTATGTCACCACCAGTGATGTTTCTTCACGTTATGTACTTGTAACCTTAAGTTGTGCCATTGTTAGTATCAATGCTTACCTTGTAATGTAACTGCCAGTGATGTTTCTTTCACGTTTTGTACTTGTAACCTTAAGTTGTGTCATTGTAAATATCAATGCTTACCTACTTATGTCACCACCAGTGATGTTTCTTCACGTTATGTACTTGTAACCTTAAGTTGTGCCATTGTTAGTATCAATGCTTACCTTGTAATGTAACTGCCAGTGATGTTTCTTTCACGTTTTGTACTTGTAACCTTAAGTTGTGTCATTGTAAATATCAATGCTTACCTACTTATGTCACCACCAGTGATGTTTCTTCACGTTATGTACTTGTAACCTTAAGTTGTGCCATTGTTAGTATCAATGCTTACCTTGTAATGTAACTGCCAGTGATGTTTCTTTCACGTTTTGTACTTGTAACCTTAAGTTGTGTCATTGTAAATATCAATGCTTACCTACTTATGTCACCACCAGTGATGTTTCTTCACGTTATGTACTTGTAACCTTAAGTTGTGCCATTGTTAGTATCAATGCTTACCTTGTAATGTAACTGCCAGTGATGTTTCTTTCACGTTTTGTACTTGTAACCTTAAGTTGTGTCATTGTAAATATCAATGCTTACCTACTTATGTCACCACCAGTGATGTTTCTTCACGTTATGTACTTGTAACCTTAAGTTGTGCCATTGTTAGTATCAATGCTTACCTTGTAATGTAACTGCCAGTGATGTTTCTTTCACGTTTTGTACTTGTAACCTTAAGTTGTGTCATTGTAAATATCAATGCTTACCTACTTATGTCACCACCAGTGATGTTTCTTCACGTTATGTACTTGTAACCTTAAGTTGTGCCATTGTTAGTATCAATGCTTACCTTGTAATGTAACTGCCAGTGATGTTTCTTTCACGTTTTGTACTTGTAACCTTAAGTTGTGTCATTGTAAATATCAATGCTTACCTACTTATGTCACCACCAGTGATGTTTCTTCACGTTATGTACTTGTAACCTTAAGTTGTGCCATTGTTAGTATCAATGCTTACCTTGTAATGTAACTGCCAGTGATGTTTCTTTCACGTTTTGTACTTGTAACCTTAAGTTGTGTCATTGTAAATATCAATGCTTACCTACTTATGTCACCACCAGTGATGTTTCTTCACGTTATGTACTTGTAACCTTAAGTTGTGCCATCGTTAGTATCAATACTTACCTTGTAATGTAACTGCCAGTGATGTTTCTTTCACGTTTTGTACTTGTAACCTTAAGTTGTGTCATTGTAAATATCAATGCTTACCTACTTATGTCACCACCAGTGATGTTTCTTCACGTTATGTACTTGTAACCTTAAGTTGTGCCATTGTTAGTATCAATGCTTACCTTGTAATGTAACTGCCAGTGATGTTTCTTTCACGTTTTGTACTTGTAACCTTAAGTTGTGTCATTGTAAATATCAATGCTTACCTACTTATGTCACCACCAGTGATGTTTCTTCACGTTATGTACTTGTAACCTTAAGTTGTGCCATTGTTAGTATCAATGCTTACCTTGTAATGTAACTGCCAGTGATGTTTCTTTCACGTTTTGTACTTGTAACCTTAAGTTGTGTCATTGTAAATATCAATGCTTACCTACTAATGTCACCACCAGTGATGTTTCTTCACGTTATGTACTTGTAACCTTAAGTTGTGCCATTGTTAGTATCAATGCTTACCTTGTAATGTAACTGCCAGTGATGTTTCTTTCACGTTTTGTACTTGTAACCTTAAGTTGTGTCATTGTAAATATCAATGCTTACCTACTTATGTCACCACCAGTGATGTTTCTTCACGTTATGTACTTGTAACCTTAAGTTGTGCCATCGTTAGTATCAATGCTTACCTTGTAACGTAACTGCCAGTGATGTTTCTTTCACGTTATGTACTTGTAACCTCAAGTTGTGCCATTGTTAGTATCAATACTTACCTTGTAATGTTACCACCAGTGATGTTTCTTCACGTTATGTACTTGTAACCTTAAGTTGTGCCATTGTTAGTATCAATGCTTACCTTGTAATGTAACTGCCAGTGATGTTTCTTTCACGTTTTGTACTTGTAACCTTAAGTTGTGTCATTGTAAGTATCAATGCTTACCTACTTATGTCACCACCAGTGATGTTTCTTCACGTTATGTACTTGTAACCTTAAGTTGTGCCATCGTTAGTATCAATGCTTACCTTGTAACGTAACTGCCAGTGATGTTTCTTTCACGTTATGTACTTGTAACCTCAAGTTGTGCCATTGTTAGTATCAATGCTTACCTTGTAATGTCACCACCAGTGGTGTTTCTTCACGTTTTGTACTTGTAACCTTAAGTTGTGCCATTGTAAGTATCAATGCTTACCTTGTAATGTAACCACCAGTGATGTTTCTTCACGTTATGTACTTGTAACCTTAAGTTGTGCCATCGTTAGTATCAATGCTTACCTTGTAACGTAACTGCCAGTGATGTTTCTTTCACGTTATGTACTTGTAACCTCAAGTTGTGCCATTGTTAGTATCAATGCTTACCTTGTAATGTCACCACCAGTGGTGTTTCTTCACGTTTTGTACTTGTAACCTTAAGTTGTGCCATTGTAAGTATCAATGCTTACCTTGTAATGTAACCACCAGTGATGTTTCTTCACGTTATGTACTTGTAACCTTAAGTTGTGTCATTGTTAGTATCAGTACTGACTGTGTAATGTAACAGCCAGTGATGTTTCTTTCACGTTATGTACTTGTAACCTCAAGTTGTGCCATTGTTAGTATCAATACTTACCTTGTAATGTTACCACCAGTGATGTTTCTTCACGTTATGTACTTGTAACCTTAAGTTGTGCCATTGTTAGTATCAATGCTTACCTTGTAATGTAACTGCCAGTGATGTATCTTTCACGTTTTGTACTTGTAACCTTAAGTTGTGTCATTGTAAGTATCAAAGCTTACCTACTAATGTAACCACCAGTGGTGTTTCTTCACGTTATGTACTTGTGACCCTAAGTTGTGTCATTGTTAGTATCAATGCTTACCTACTTATGTTACCACCAGTGATGTTTCTTTACGTTATGTACTTGTAACCTTAAGTTGTGCCATTGATAGTATCAATGCTTACCTTGTAATGTAACTGCCAGTGATGTTTCGTTCACGTTTTGTACTTGTAACCTTAAGTTGTGCCATTGTTAGTATCAATGCTTACCTACTAATGTTACCACCAGTGATGTTTCTTTCACGTTATGTACTTGTAACCTTAAGTTGTGCCATTGTTAGTATCAATACTTACTCTTTAATGTAACCACCGGTGTTGTTTCTTCACGTTATGTACTTGTGACATTAAGTTGTGCCATTGTTAGTATCAATACTTACTTTGTAATGTTACCACCGGTGGTGTTTCTTCACGTTATGTACTTGTAACCTTAAGTTGTGTCATTGTTAGTATCAATACTTACTGTGTAATGTAACCACCAGTGATGTTTCTTCACGTTATGTACTTGTAACCCTAAGGTGTGCCATTGTTGTATCTAGATACAATTGCCTGATGTATCTCGATATAATTGCCTGAGGTATGTCGACATAAATGCATGATGTTTCTCGATATAATTGCCTGAGGTATCTCGATATCATTGCATGAGGCAATAATTGTAATTATGAATTAATACCTCATTCTGTATCCAAATAGACAATGTAAAACAAATGACATAGCAAGGAAAGAAAATGGGCGAGGACGGAGAATGTGTAATTAAAATATAACTGATATTTGTAATGGACTGATGAGTTTGTGTGTGATAAAATATGTAAGTGTAATATGTATGTTAGTACTTGATAGTTTGATAGTTCTTTGTAATGATTTTTGTTCCAAAGTAGTTGCGTAATAGTAGGTATGTGATAGTAGTGTGAGATAGTATTGATGTAATGGTATTGTGTATTGCTGCCTACGTTATATCGCTTTCTGTAATGTTTATATCCAGTCGACAGTAGCAGTGAGGACGACCCGAATAGAGCTCTCCGCTGTTACAAATGTAATGAAGTTCTTCGACCAGAAGATTGCGCCAATGCCGAGTTTTGCGCTGCGAACGAAGTAAGTAAAACGATGTGTATTACCTTCTTAATATTTTTTTAGGAAACAAGATAATAACGTGTTTCAATAAGGCAATAGCAGTAACGTGCATTCTATGTACTAATAGCATGTGCTTATTTTAACCGGTAACTTTAGCTATTGTATAAACACCAATAACTTCAGCACTAACTTATTATCTACGTTTGGTGCTTATGAATGAAATTCAGTTCAGTCAAAAGAAATACTAATTAATAACTGCATTCATCCTTTCACAATTGTCCAATAACAGAGAAAAAAAACTATTTAAGCGGTACTTAAGTTTAACATGGCAATTCATGTTCGTGAGATGATTGAACACATTAAGTCCACAAAACCTCTGAGAAATAGAAAGTGATTACATTAAAACAAATATCCGGAGTATCTTCAACACGATTGCTTATCGACTGGATTATTATGAAGTCACAAAACATCTTGCATTGGAATTTTCTACAATTGAAAACTTATATAAAGGTATTGGCCTGTGTATTGACTTAGAAATGAAAATGATAACAGCATGTTTTGTTTAGTCAAACGTATTAATGTTCAACCAAACGGAAGAAGGGCATAACGATTAATTCTTTAACACTTTAAATCAGCAAATAATTGGTTCCGTTACAAAATGACAATAATTGTCGCAGGAGAATATTATTTTTCAAAAGTATTTTAATGGTATATAATGAATAATATTTCCGTTATTTTGATACTAAATACGTCATATTGATATACATGAAATAAACGTAATGATTTCTACAAAATGTAAAATATATACTACATTGTCAACTTGCCTATGTGCATATACTTATAGTGGTAAGTACATATTTGTATTCTTCTGAACTTTTTTATGCAGATACATGTCCTGTCTACAAATTAATTTTTGTGTAATATCAAAACTGGTAACATAGTTTCTCAGCATCCTAACATAGGGAACGCACAATTTCACAGAATCATGCAGATTTGAATATCAATAATATTATGGTAAATACCAATACATTTTCTGTTTTTGTGAAGACGTAAACGTTATTTTTATATTTAACTATAAACAAGTAATGATAAAAGATAACCTTGTCTGCTTCTCATGTGAGGTGTATTCTAGATACAGACAGTTAATCATTGTAATCAAACCATTTTCAGTCATGTCACATGTACGTATGTCGGATATTCCTAATTAAGTAACATTGTGTTGCTCTGATCTCTCAGTAAGTCGTCCTTCTCAATAGCTATTGTAGATGATTACATAGGTCTCGGCAACACGAGGTGGAACAATCTACCCCAAGGGTCTCCGGCTCACACACGATATGCATTATCATATCAGTGTAATTTACTTCACCGACTGCTTACTGCTGAGAATATAACTCTGAGAATATCACTGTATCTGAAGAAACTTTAATTTGTTAAAAATGAATCAAGCGCTACCCCAAGCAAAAACCATTGGCATCTGCGTTAGGTGAACCTAATGGTGCATATACTCCAAAAAAACATGGAAAATGATGCTGATGGTGCTTCCATATAATTCATGTCAACCAACCAGCTACCACTAATCTCTGTTGTGAGTTTATTAAATGGTGGAATTTCACACGAAACGTATGTCATACGTGGGAAGAAAGCTCTGGGTTTCGCAACATGGTATGACGTTCAATAATTAATCTTTCTTTCCATTGTCAGTGTTGTCAGTGGTGTAAACCTGATGCACATGTTGGCATTGACCATATCATTGGTGATTTTGGAACCCATTCTGGACAATCGACTCGCAGACAAGGGAACCATTAGAGCTCTATTTCAAAGACCGAACAGGTCAGGTGATAAAGGACCTACTTGAACTGAGTTATGTCCAATCTGCAGGTAGCCCGACCAGTGCGAGTATTGGTGTGTGTGTGTGTGTGTGTGTGTGTGTGTGTGTGTGTGTGTTATCATGATCCTATGCATTTCTTTGTTTCTGTTCTGGGTCAAATTGAAGACCAGCATTCCATGGTTACAAATGGTTGCTTGTGTGGTATTATGTTAACACGTTGTTTCTCACACATGGACCAAAACAAATCAGCCGCGAGGATAAAAAGGTCAATACACCGTATTTACATAATCTTTCTATGGGGATAAAGTAATTTTAATCCATGACGATACGTACAAGCTGTTTCCAGAAAAGCACTTGACACACCCTGCAACGATTATCATACTGAGGGCTAAAGAAACGTAAGTATATTGATTTTATAAGTATTGTGTTTCCAGACGGGTATGTTCTAGACATCATTAGGTAATGTGAATGAAAATAAATGAGAATCAGTGCAGACGACATGTAATAACATGTTATTGTTGATAGGAGATTCAGGGATGTGTTTAACCTACTACGAGGTTCAGGGATGTGTTTGACCTTCCGCGAGGTTCAGGGATGTGTTCGACCTACTGCGAGGTTCAGGGATGTGATTGACCTACTATGAGGTTCAGGGATTTGTTCGACCTAATGTGAGGTTCATGGATGTGTTTGACCTACTGCGAGGTTCAGGGATGTGTTTGACCTACTGCGAGGTTCAGGGATTTGTTCGACCTACTTTGAGGTTCAGGGATGTGTTTGACCTACTGCAAGGTTCAGGGATGTGTTGGACCTACTGTGAGGTTCATGGATGTGTTTGACCTACTGCGAGGTTTAGGGATGTGTTTGACCTTCCGCGAGGTTCAGGGATGTGTTCGACCTGCTGCGAGGTTCAGGGATGTGTTGGACCTACTGTGAGGTTCATGGATGTGTTGGACCTACTGTGAGGTTCAGGGATATGTTTGACCTACTGCGAGGTTCAGGGATGTCAGACACAACATGACACACTTACTGCAAACGAGGCCTGCCAGTGCACAAAGTCACGGTGGGTAGTGGAGAGTTACTGCGGTCGCTTTAAGTTGCATCAAGGAACATTGCAAAGCACCTGTTTAGTTTGGTTTGGTTTAATTTTGTTAAACGTCCTATTAACAGCTATGGTCATTTAATGACGTGTCTCCATGTGTGTAGTGTGTGCGTGATTGCGTGATTGCAGCATTCCGCCTGGTCACATTATACTGACAACGGGTGAACCAGTTGTTACCATTCCCCTTAATGCTGAACGTTAAACAGGGAATAACAACTACCATTTTTAAGGACTTTGGTATGTCCCGGCCTGGGAACAGAACCCATTGCTTTTCCTCACCTAGGCGAACGCTTAACATGAAAGCACAAAAGGGAGGTGTTGCCAAGCAAGGCGTTAGAAAATAAAAGGTAGTTAGTAGTAGAAAGGAAAAGAACCCAAATATTGTTATGGGTGCAGCAGATTTATTTTGGTTGCTTTTGTGTCCCCTAGTAGAGTACACCAAAGCAAATCCCCAATTCTGCAGGGGGTTCCCACATTACTCGCCTCCTACGATACATGCAATGGGTAACAGCTGGTGTATATTTTTCCCGATCTCCCGACTTCAGGGGTGGCATGGCACATGACACCGGGAGAGGACTTTGGAGTGTGGATCTATCAGTATGTCCAAAACCTTATCCAAGGCCAAATATAGTCCAGGCACAAATCCCAGGCTAAACAGTATTGGGTACATATGAAAAAAAATGACCTAGATGACCCCATTGAAGATAACTACTGTGTCTACACTGCGAACAAGCGATCGATCCAGGTGTGTGCAAATGTTGCATGCATTTGCTATTGTTTGGTTCATGTACCAAGACCACAGTCTACATTGTACCGGCCAAGCGACACTCAAGTTCAAACAAGCAATCAGTTGAGTGATATACGCTGGAATAAAACTATATTGAGTAGACCATTTAAAAAATACAATGCATTTAGTACTACAGTTCCACTATCACTGTCTGATTTCTTGCTAGTGACACAATGATGGAAACTGACAAAAGAAAAACTTTAAAAGTCAATATGAGATACTAAAAAATTTCAGTTCATTTGTATAATACAGTTTACCCCAATGACCTTTACTTAAGGTACTTGGTATTCACACTGACAACAAGTTTTACATATAACTGCTAAGTAAATATGTTTTTTGCCATTAGCATAACTATTTAAATCTTGTCATGGTGAATGAAGGTCAATGTCAGTATTTGTGTTACCAAACTTAACATTCATTCACAGGAACAACCTACTCGCAAAATATCACGACCCTTAGTATTTTTTGTTTAAAAATATAAAATAGAATAAACCACACATATACAATTAAATGGAAAAATTGAAAGAAAAAAATATTTTAAGATGTTATAAGACAAAATGTGAATTATATCTAAATTTCTCGTATTGAAAGATATTTTTGGTAGCCAAAACCTTATCAAGTATGAAAAATGGATTGAATTTAGAACTATGCAAATAAGTGAGTCGTAAATGAGAATCCTTTCGTATGTAATGAATATTTCACATTATTGTCTGCTTCAACCTGCGTTATAAGATAATGTCATTTTGGTATAACAGTAGGCGATGGAATGTGTTTTACACGATGCTGAGATCATTTCATAAAGATTTTGTTATTCAAAGCTCTTGGAGGAATTGTATAACCGAACCTTTCACACTTACACAGGTGTTAGTCAATGTGGTCATGTTAGTCATAAAAATAATTATGAAACAACTTGCTCCTTATTGAAGCTTCCTTTACTCAAACCATTTCTGTTTATCTTGTTTTAAAAATCAAGGCGGGGACCGACGCTAATGTTAAATCTACATAGGAGGTGACCCTGCACTGTTATAATATATAGAGAAATATGATTGAAATGAAAGTCTGACATTCCTAGAGAGGAATCATTCACCGTCAAAAGAAATATTTCTCTTATTTGTAATGATTTTGTTAGGACTTGAAATAAGAAATTCGGTATTGTCTCCCTTAGTTAACAAACTGATGATTGATCCTTTCAACAGCAATGCAGAATAGAGGTGTACTTTTCTAACATCCACCAAGCCGTTCGATATAGAAGTGACTGCTTCAGGCGTGCGGTGAGTGATCAAATCTAATAAGCTTTCCATAATTTGCGGTTGCTTTTTGTTGTATTTCATTATATATCTTTATTGACGTAATAATCTGTTTGTGCTGTGTCCTATCGTTTATCGATATTGACGTAATAATCTGTTTGCGCTGTGTCCTATCGTTTATAGTCATTGACGTAATAATCTGTTTGGGCTGTGTCCTATCGTTTATCGTTATTGACGTAATAATCTGTTTGTGCTGTGTCCTATCGTTTATCGTTATTGACGTAAATGTCACTGTTTGTTGTGTCATTTGATATAAAGAATTATATTAGTAATCCAGTTCATGATTTTAATACAAATAGAAACTTTAAATAGAATTGAAGTGAGTAGTAATTTACTTTAGTTGTGTGACATAATGTTTTGAAATGTGACCCGTATCTAAAAATGATAAACAATCCCTTTCTAGCTAAATACCTCATGAACAGAAACAAAAAACTGTTATTTTCCATTGTAATAAATAAGCTAATTATATCATTGTTGTGGTATTGAGTTATTTGAGTGTTTTTGCGTAAGTGTTTTAGAACAAAACAAAAGTATGACCTGTTTGTGTCAATTCGGATCAAGGAACCATTATCTTGCACATCTAGTACAAATTAGAGCTAGTGCTCCTCTTTTTGAACCTTTCCATTTCTGTATCACAGATAGCAGTCGTTTATCTAATTAATGATATCATATGATATTTTGCACGTTAATTCAAAATATTTGAATTTAAAATTAGTTCTAAATAGAAATGAACAGAAAATTGCCATTGACAGTGCAGTAGAGTCGTTTCAAGTATAACATTAATTATCAGCAATTATGTCCCACACCTGAAAAACAAGAGTCCTCACATATGAAAAGGTCCTTACCAACATATCGACCCATTCAGGACATACTAAGATAGCATGATGTTAAATTCACACAAGATAAATAAAACCAATACACTTATCTCTTATACAACACAGTTACACATTTCAGGAGAACAACACTCATAAGAGCACGTGTAAACGAAAGGAGCCGATTATACCGTGGTTTTACTTAACAACGTTTTATGTCAGTCACACTCGGTGTTTGCGTTTATATGTAATGAAATGGTTTGCGAAAGGTTTGCAAAGCGTAAAAAAAGAATTACTTGGATACCATTAAAAATACAAGAATAAGACCAGGTGTTCCGGAAATATAAGCGTCTCTTGATTCACCGAAGACACCCACCTTGTAAATCTAGGTTAACACCAGATATGTGATAATGTCAACGAAACCAAAAGGCGCAGATATATATAACGTCCATATTGCATATACCCAAGGAAAAACACGTTTTCCAAAATGATCATGCTTTTGATCATGAATCTTACCCATACATGTAGTCTTCATTTGCATCGCCCTAAACCTTGTGTTAACATTTTGTCAATCTACATTACAAGCTGTAAATCCGAAACGCAGCTTTAATATATCGAATCCAATATATTGTATATTGTTTGCTCCATGCGCTTATAAAATCAACGTTGCCTTCCGCTCGGTCTTGAATATTAAAAGATAAAATAAAACAGTTTCAACACAAAACATTTTCTACCCTCACCCTCAACCTCTTCTCTCCTTCCTTGAAACACATAGTGATTATTCGTACAAAAATATTTCATCTGAAAGCTGTCTGTCAGTCCAGACTACATCGCTGTAGGGAACACCATTTAGGTCCTTAACTAAACAATAAGTGTATTGATTTAAACATTATGTTAGATATTTTTCTTGCAACCGTTTGTTATTTTTTGTTGATCAAATTTAGTGCTCATTGTTTATTCTTGGTATGGAAATCTACATGTTATCTTATGATCCATGCTACCACTTGCCATAATTTATTTTCATGGTGTGCTTTTCTATGGCACTGCTAAATATACATTGTATTGTGTTATTCATATTGTAATGTCTGATCCTTGTTCCTTCGATAGTGCTGAATTTGCATTGTCCTGTGCTTTCCTTGTCACCACTACTCGACACACATTTTAATGTGTTATCATTGTTGCTATTTGCTAACAATCTTATTGTTTCAATTTCAACAAAGGAGGAGTGCCAATTTGGGCCTTCTGGTGGCTATCACCGATACGTTTTATTTTTTGTATAAACATACATCGAACCCCAATTCTTGATATTTGGTTAAGATACTTATTAATACCATTTGGTAAGATTATTGTATGGTTCTAATATGTATTCAGGCACAAAAAAGGAAGAATTGTTGACATAGTTAAACCAATAAATAACAAGATCAAAGTGACCTACTTATCAACCATGTGCTACTCTTTTCGGCCATTTTTAATATTTGCTGCTTAAGTGTTACGCAATACACGAAAATGATGAAGAAACTTAAAAAAAGAAAAAATGTAGTTTTGTAAAAAAAAAAAAAGCGTCCATTTGTGATTTTGCTCCCCAACTTTACCCCCTCATATCTCGGGATGGTTTCCAAGCTGACCTTAATTTCATGTCATATCATGATGTCAATCAAGGTATGTAGATAGCCACCAGAAGGCCCAAATTGGCACTCCTCCTTTTATTTCATTTAGAAAAATGAACAACAGGCATAGCCTATATTAGTTCTCCCCTTAAGGTAACAATGTTACTGTTTGATTTTTTAATGTAGAATATTTTTTGTTTGACCATGCATTATTGGCAATTACAAATATATAAACATTGTCATACCAACACTTCCATCGTGTTTAATAAACACAAGAGGTAGTAAAACTGATACCGGTAAAACATAGTTATTATCATTGTTATGTGTTTATTGTGGAATACCTGAAAAGTGCTTTTACATCACAGAGCTTGTATGATAAACATTGTGTCTCTGTTAAACATTTTTGTGGTATATTATTTCGATTTTATTCCAAAGATTGTTTATAAACTTTGCATAATGTTTCTCTATATGTGTATTGATGCTTTAAGGAATGTAATGCGACGCAGACACATAAAGTTTCTGCGCCACTAACTGGACGGCGTGAGACGCGGGAACAGGAGCACACTAACTTACAGCTATTGTCGGAATGCTGCGACTCAACTATGTGCAACAACTACGATCCATTTAATAAGAGTGAGTTTGTAAGACGAACCAGGACCAAACATACACCACTTGTATGACTACCTAGTAAAACATAAACGTCCACATACTAGACCGCATTTGTGTAAAACCCAATCCACGTATTGGACCTCACGTGCGTGTAGTAACATGTGCTATATCGTGAGTGGGGGATACGTGGGTTGAAGAAAACAAAGTTGTTATAATAGGTCGCACTAGTGTGTTGTAAACCACTGTCTATATTTTAGACAGTACGTGTTTGTCTATAAAACAAAAAGGATGCTCGTATTACCTGTTCCTATGCTTAGTAAATAATAATCCGTATACGAATCATAGTTTGTTTTGTCTGCGTGCCCCGTTACCTTTTAAAGAGTGATAAGTCAAGGTAATATCTACTGTCCACTGAATGAACGTATATACTTTGTATCTCCTTGTAATAAGTACTACCTTATGATATTTAATAGCTGTGTAACGACTACTATTCTTTATCATTTAGAGTCGAAGTAACAAGTATTGTTTACGATATTAAACTTTGTGCAAAGCTACACCTTTATGATTTTTCACCTTTATGGCAGCATGTTCTAAAACACATGCTACAAATATCTAGCTTGAATTAACAACACTACCTAGGATTTGTAGACGAGAAGGTGGTGTAATACACAGAAAAGGTTTATATTATGTTACACAAGTTTGTACAGTCATACTTTGAATTATTTCAACTGAAATGCTGACATAAATATTTGGGTTATTTTCATACATCAATATCTGTAATATACAAATTGTATTTTTATATTGCAAAAAAAAGGGATCATTATATGAGCAAAAATGACATTTCGTATATTAAAATATATATAATATTTAGATGCAGACCTCCCAAAAAACCCCATTTGTATCAAATATTTAATTGTGAAACAATTCCTGCTCTTTACAAATTTTATTCGCATTGAATTACTTTGATATTATGTGTATCTGTTTCTGAATTTTTTCTTTCTAATAACTGTAATATGTCTGTCTTATTCCAGCCGCACATGACTTTACTGGGAAATACGTTCCCATTGATACTAACTGTCGTAAGTATGTTTACATTGACATTGATGTCATGCTGTCAGTTCCGCTTGACGTGCAGCACATGTTTTATATTTATTCGAAATTTCCAGTATAAGCTATAGTTTTTTCTCCATATACAGTTTGCTTTTAACGCATCATTCCATGACTCTCATTACTTGAAAGGTTGAGTTAACGTCAATGACATGTTATATCGAGTAACGTTATGGTCATCCAATGTTAAGTTTTGTTTGCCTGACACTGCTCGTATCTCTTTATATGGTGGTTTCATTGTGTGATATGAAGTACGTTTTTTTATAATGTTCCTTGGAGTGCGATGCAGTTGTGTTGTCACTGGCTGAGTTCCCGATGTGGCATTTATGGACCTAAATTTACACGCGGGACTCTTCGATCAAGAAGTAGCCGCTGCTTACATTTCTTTAACAAACTGTTACTATTCTCCTTGTAATTCTTTCGAGGGTCTGTGCGCAAATCTTTCTTTGTTCATACTTTGGCCTAGTTTTATCGATTTTGAATTCAAATTATGGTATTGTTGAAACTTCAGTGTTCTCTTGTTGTTGTTTCACAAGATTTCCAAATAAGTGTTAGACAGCATCTGAGATAAAACTGTGGACGGGCTATACAAGTGTTAGAATGCATCTGATATAAAACTGTGTACGGGCTATATAAGTGTTAGACTGCAGCTGATATAAACTGTGTACGGGCTATATAAGTGTTAGATTGCAGCTGAGAAAAAACTGTGTACGGGCTATATAAGTGTTAGACTGCAGCTGAGAAAAAACTGTGTACGAGCTATATAAGTGTTAGACTGCATCTGATATAAAACTGTGTACGGGCTATATAACTGTTAGACTGCAGCTGAGATAAACTGTGTATTGGCTATATAAGTGTTAGACTGCAGCCGATATAAAACTGTGTACGGGCTATATAAGTGTTAGACTGCAGCTAGGATAAAACTGTGTACGGGCTATATATATGTTAGACTGCAGCCGATATAAAACTGTGTACGGGCTATACAACTGTTAGACTGCAGCTAGGATAAAACTGTGTACGGGCTATATAACTGTTAGAGTGCAGCCGATATAAAACTGTGAACGGGCTAGATAAGTGTTAGACTGCAGCTAATAAAAAACTGTATACGGGCTATATATGTGTTACACTGAGGCTGATATAAAACTGTACGGGCTATATAAGTGTTAGACTTCAGCTAATATAAAACTGTGTACGGGCTATATAAGTTTTAGACTGCAGCTAATATAAAACTGGGTACGGGCTATATAACTGTTAGACTGCAGCTGAGATAACCTGTGTATTGGCTATATAAGTGTTAGACAGCATCTGATATAAACCTGTGTACGGGCTATACAACTGTTAGACTGCAGCTAGGATAAAACTGGGTACGGGCTATATAACTGTTAGACTGCATCTGATATAAAACTGTGTGCGGGCTATATAACTGTTAGACTGCATCTGATATATAACTGTGTACGGAATATTTAAGTGTTAGACAGTCTCTGATATAAAACTGTGTACGGGCTATATAAGTGTTAGACTGCAGCCGATATAAAACTGTGTAGGGGCTATATTACTGTTAGACTGCAGCCGATATAAAACTGTGTACGGGCTATATAAGTGTTAGACTGCATATGAGAAACAACTGTGTACGGGCTATATAACTGTTAGACTGCATCTGATATAAAACTGTGTACGGGTTATTTAAGTGTTAGACAGCATCTGATATAAAACTGTGTACGGGCTATATAAGTGTTAGACTGCAGCCGATATAAATCTGTGTACCGGTTATATAAGTGTTAGACTGCAGCTGAGAAAAAACTGTGTATTGGCTATATAAGTGTTAGACAGCATCTGATATAAAACTGTGTACGGGCTATATAAGTGTTAGACTGCAACCGATATAAATCTGTGTACGGGCTATATAAGTGTTACGGGCTATATAACTGTTAGACTGCAGCTAGGATAAAACTGTGAACTGGCTATATAAGTGTTAGACTGCAGCTAATAGAAAACTGTGTATTGGCTATATAAGTGTTAGACTGCAGCTAATATAAAACTGTGTACGGGCTATATAAGTGTTAGACTGCAGCTAATATAAAACTGTGTATTGGCTATATAAGTGTTAGACTGCAGCTAATATAAAACTGTGTATTGGCTATATAAGTGTTAGACTGCAGCTAATATAAAACTGTGTACGGGCTATATAAGTGTTAGACTGCAGCTAATATAAAACTGTGTATTGGCTATATAAGTGTTAGACTGCAGCTAATATAAAACTGTGTACGGGCTATATAAGTGTTAGACTGCAGCTAGGATAAAACTGTGTACGGGCTATATAAGTGTTAGACTGCAGCTAGGATAAAACTGTGTACGGGCTATATAAGTGTTAGACTGCAGCTAGGATAAAACTGTGTACGGGCTATATAAGTGTTAGACTGCAGCTAGGATAAAACTGTGTACGGGCTATATAACTGTTAGACTGCAGCCGATATAAAACTGTGAACGGGCTATATAAGTGTTAGACTGCAGCTAATAAAAAACTGTGTACGGGCTATATAAGTGTTAGACTGAGGCTGATATAAAACTGTGTACGGCCTATATAAGTGTTAGACTGCAGCAAAGATAAACTGTGTACGGGCTATATAAGTGTTAGACTGCAGCTAGGATAACACTGTGTACGGGCTTTATAAGTGTTAGACTGCAGCTGAGATAAAACTGTACGGGCTATATAAGTGTTACGGGCTATATAACTGTTAGACTGCAGCTAGGATAAAACTGTGTACGGGCTATATAAGTGTTAGACTGCAGCTGAGATAAACTGTGTACGGGCTATTTAAGTGTTAGACTGCAGCAGACATACAACTGTGTACGGGCAATATAAGTGTTAGACTGAGGCTGATATAAAACTGTGTACGGGCTATATAAGTGTTAGACTGCAGCTGAGATAAAACTGTACGGGCTATATAAGTGTTACGGGCTATATAAGTGTTAGACTATATAAGTATTTCATGCTAATTGAAATTCTTTTATTTGTATTTTGTTTTGTTTACTAAAGACAACCCCTTGTACCCGACTTAGTGCTTAAACTTTTAATAAATTATATCAACAATATGTAGTGTATCATATCAAACTACTATCATATGGGCTTTAAACTGGATTCCTTTTTTATCACAATTGATGTAAAATTTAGTCTTTATCCAAGTCTCGTTCAGTTCTAGGTCTGTTTCTAAATGAGAAATGTCTAATATAAGGTTCACATTTTATAAACAGCTACCAGACCAGCCACAACTGTCATTCCAACAACAATTACAACCACGCCCACAACAGCGACCACGACCACGCCCACAACTACAACCATCCCAACAACAACGACCACGACCACGCCCACAACAACAACCGTCCTAACAACAACGGCCACGACCACGCCCACACCTACGACTATACCAACAACTCCCAGACCCACCACTCCTTGTAAGATACCCTGTTCGGATATGCATAGTTGTTGCTTTTGATCAGGGTGTAATTTCAGGTTGTTTGCTTAACCCGCTTGTTTACATTTCAAATTCAGAATACGCATTCGTTTGCAGTGCTTTCATCATTCCTTGTCTGCTTCTATTTTTACTCAAAAATGCAATCTAAATTCTGCTTAGCAACACAAATAATTTAAAATTCAACCGTGTCTTTTACATCACCAACAACAATTACAACAGCAACAACAACAACGACAACAACTACCCCCACAACAACGACGACAACGCCTACAACAACGACCACACCTACAACCACGACAACACCAACAACCACACCTACAACAACGACCACGACCACAACAACGACCACGCCCACAGTAACGACCACGCCCACTAAAACGACCACACCTACAACAACGACCACGCCCACAACAACGACCACACCTACAACCACGACCACACCTACAACGACGACAACGCCCACAACAACGACGACAACGCCTACAACAACTACCACGCCCACAACAACGACCACGCCCACTACAACGACCACGCCTACTACAACGACCACGCCTACTACAACTACTACTGCGACAACTACGCTGGTACCGAGTATGTCGATGTCGTTATAACTAACCTTTTATAACGAATTATTTAGTATTGACAAATGATGTATTTGTGTAGCTTAGGAATTAATCTGCTTCCGGTTTTTGCTGCGTATGTGTGCTTGAGGTATTTGCCCCTTTGATTGTTTGATTTGTCAGATTTAACTGATTTACATATTTCAAATTCATGTAATATGGTTTTGTTAGAGGTTCTTAAAACGTAAAAGCTTTAGTGAATTATGGTTTTTAGATAAGTGTCTAGCATTCTTACTCTTTCTTTTCTTTCTTTTTGTTGTTGTTGGG